TTCCTGAGTGTGTTTTCTACAGGTTCACGTTTCTTTTTTTCACCTGCGGCTGCTAAATGAATTTCCTCTAAGTCACAACAAAGTTAAAGTCAAAGTCCATCAACAGCCAAAAAGAGAAAAAACTTTAACTGCTCTATAAAGTACGACCAAGAAAACATCAGATCCTCACATTTAGAAGCATAGAGACGTTGTTTATTTGGTATTTATGCTTCAAAAAATAAACAATAATAATAGATTTGAAGTGGATAATCGTTAGAAAGACTCATTTTGTGGCTCTGAAGTGAAATCTTAACAAATAATCTGGTTTGTTTGTGGTCTTCTCCAAACCCTCCGATTCAAAGAAGAGTTCATCTAAAATCTGAAAGGAGAAGTGTTTTTAACAGAGAAATGTTCTCTGTTGTAAACAGTATCTCTCTCAAACCGCTCCTCTTCCTGGAATGAATCGTAGTTCTATCAGCCCTCCCTCTTCTTCCTGCTCTCAAACACAGCCTGCTGCACTCTGTCCTCATACCTCCTGGTTCCCTCCCCTTTAGATCTACAGTTTGAGGATGGGTGTAACCAACAACACCTGCACAGTCACATACACATCCACATGCTTTGTAGATCAGAGGTGAAACTTGTTATGAGGAAGTGAATCTCAGACAGTCGTTGTTACTGAGAGGAGAAATGGCGCAGAAAGGAGTTCAGCTGGACCGGGAAACCTTCTCTTGTTCGATCTGTCTGGATCTCCTGAAGGATCCGGTGACTCTTACCTGTGGACACAGTTACTGCATGAAGTGTATTAAAAGCCACTGGGATACAGAGGATGAGAAGACAGTCTACAGCTGCCCTCAGTGTAGACAGACCTTCACAGCGAGGCCTGACCTGAGGAAAAACACCATGTTGGCAGATTTAGTGGAGGAGCTGAAGAAGACTGGACTCCAAGCTGCTCCTGCTGATCACTGCTATGCTGGATCTGAAGATGTGGCCTGTGATGTCTGCACCGGGAGAAAACTGAAAGCCTGTAAGTCCTGTCTCTTCTGTTTATCTCATTTTGTGAGAAACACCTCCAGCCTCATTATGATCACCTGCCTATACAAAACACAAGCTGGTGGAGCCCTCCAAGAAGCTCCAGGAGAACGTCTGCTCTCGTCATGATGAGGTGATGAAATTTCTGTCGCACTGATCAGCAGTCTATCTGTTATCTCCCTGTGGACGAACACAAAGGTCATGACACAGTCTCAGCTGCAGCAGAAAGGAGCGAGAAGCAGAGAGAGCTGGAGGTGAGTCGACAAAACATCCAGCAGAGAATCCAGGACAGAGAGAAAGATGTGAAGCTGCTCCAACAGGAGGTGGAGGCTATCAATGGCTCCGCTGATAAAACAGTGGGGAACAGTGAGAATGTTCACTGAGCTGATCCGTCTCATGGAGAAAAGACGCTCTGATGTGAAGCAGCAGGTCAGATCCCAGCAGCAAACTGAAGTGAGTCGAGTCAGAGAGCTTCAGGAGAAGCTGGAGCAGGAGATCACTGAGCTGAAGAGGAGAGACGCTGAGATGAAGAAGCTGTCACACACACAGGACCACAACCAGTTTCTACACGACTACCCCTCACTGTCACCACTCAGTGAATCTACACACTCATCCAGCATCAAGATCCGTCCTCTGAGGTACTTTGAGGACGTGACAGCGGCTGTGTCAGAAGTCAGAGATAAACTACAGGACGTCCTGAGAGAGAAATGGACAAACATCTCACAGACAGTGACTGAAGTGGATGTTTTACTGTCAGAACCAGAGCCCAAGACCAGAGCTGAGTTCTTAAAATATTCATGTGACATCACACTGGATCCAAACACAGCAACACAACTGTTATTATCTGATGGGAACAGAAAAGTAACAGTAACGAGTCAGACCAATCCTTATTCTAGTCACCCAGACAGATTCACTAAATGTTTTCAGGTCCTGAGTAAAGAGAGTCTGAGTGGACGTTGTTACTGGGAAGTGAAGAAGAGAAGAATAGGAGGAGTTTGTGTAGCAGTCACATACAAGAATATCAGCAGAGCAAGGGGATTGAATGAGTGTGAATTTGGACGTAATGACAAATCTTGGGCGTTAGATTATTTCTTCAACAGATATAACTTTTATTACAACAATGTCAAGACTCCTGTCTCAGGTCCTGAGTCCTCCAGAGTAGGAGTGTACCTGGATCACAGAGCAGGTATTCTGTCCTTCTACAGCATCTCTGAAACCATGACTCTCCTCCACAGAGTCCAGACCACATTCACTCAGCCTCTACATGCTGGACTCTGGTTTTATTATTTTGTTGGAGACTCTGCTGAGTTGTGTAAACTGAAATAGACAGAAGTCATTAACGAGACAGATGTTTAACTTGCTGTGTTTTAAATCTTCAACTTGATTTTTATCCACGCTCGTTGCTGAGATCTGATCGTGGTCACCTGTCAATCAAACTTCATGGGCGGTACTTTGACCTCTTCTCGTCTGTTCTGTAAATGTTTGAGTGTCT